TCTGGTCCAATGGGATTCCTCTGGTCTCACACCCTAATAATCCCAATCCTTCGCCCACGTCTACTGTCATGACTTCGGCCCCTTTTTCTGTGCTTTGAGTTTGGCAGGGTACCCTCCATGTGACTCTGGACTCTCACGTGTCTCTCCTCAGGTGTTCATATATGTTATCTGATCTGACTTGTCTCACGTGTCTCTCCTGTCTCTCCTCAGGTGTTCATATATGTTATCTGATCTGACTTGTCTCACGTGTCTCTCCTGTCTCTCCTCAGGTGTTCATATATGTTATCTGATCTGACTTGTCTCACGTGTCTCTCCTGTCTCCCCTCAGGTGTTCATATATGTTATCTGATCTGACTTGTCTCACGTGTCTCTCCTGTCTCTCCTCAGGTGAGCCACAGCTTCACAGCAGGGATCCTCCTCGCGTCGGAGAACAGTCGCTGCTCATCGGCGCCCCCCCCCTCTGACAGGCGTTTGCCATGGCGACCCGTCCTCCTCCCCCAGTCCTCCTCCCCCCCCATCCCTCCAGAACGCTCCGTTAGCCCCGATAGCAACGATAGCATCTCGGAGGAGCTGAACCACTTCAAACCCATCGAGTGTTCGCCGTGCACTCCTCCCAGACGCCTGGCTGACGGACGCCTGGTGATAACCTCCGTCGTGAAGTCCACCCCCAGGAACCTGAACCTGAGCCTGAACCAGAACCAGGACCAGAGCCTGAACCAGGACCAGAGTCTGAGACCCAGCAGATACGAGGTTGGAGCCGCATTGATGCAGAAATGGAGGCAGATCGAACTGGACCGGCAGAAAATGAAGTTAAACGGCAATCTGAGCGGAGAGGAAACACCCTCTGATCGGCACGGCAACAAGAGATCCCCCTCTGATCGGCCCGGCAACAAGAGGTCAGAGTCCCCCTCTGATCGGCCCGGCAACAAGAGGTCAGAGTCCCCCTCTGATCCGCCCGGCAACAAGAGGTCAGAGTCCCCCTCTTATCCGCCCGGCAACAAGAGGTCAGAGTCCCCCTCTGATCCGCCCGGCAACAAGAGGTTAGAGTTCGACTCTCAGGACGCCGTGCAGAGGAAGAAGATCCACGTTCCTGCTGTCAAGGAGAGGCAAGTTCATACAGCAGGACTCATAACGCTGACTCAGGGTTCAGGACTCATAATGCTGACTCAGGTCAGGGTGCAAGACTCATAATGCTGACTCAGGGTTCAGGACTCATAATGCTGACTCAGGTCAGGGTTCAGGACTCATAACGCTGACTCAGGTCAGGGTTCAGGACTCATAGTGCTGACTCAGGTCAGGGTTCAGGACTCATCATGCTGACTCAGGTCAGGGTGCAAGACTCATAATGCTGACTCAGGGTTCAGGACTCATGATGCTGACTCAGGGTTCAGGACTCATAATGCTGACTCAGGTCAGGGTTCAGGACTCATAGTGCTGACTCAGGTCAGGGTTCAGGACTCATAATGCTGACTCAGGTCAGGGTTCAGGACTCATAATGCTGACTCAGGTCAGGGTTCAGGACTCATAATGCTGACTCAGGTCAGGGTTCAGGACTCATAACGCTGACTCAGGTCAGGGTTCAGGACTCATAATGCTGACTCAGGTCAGGGTTCAGGACTCATAATGCTGACTCAGGGTTCAGGACTCATAGTGCTGACTCAGGTCAGGGTTCAGGACTCATAATGCTGACTCAGGTCAGGGTTCAGGACTCATAATGCTGACTCAGGTCAGGGTTCAGGACTCATAATGCTGACTCAGGTCAGGATTCAGGACTCATAATGCTGACTCAGGTCAGGGTTCAGGACTCATAATGCTGACTCAGGGTTCAGGACTCATAGTGCTGACTCAGGTCAGGGTTCAGGACTCATAATGCTGACTCAGGTCAGGGTTCAGGACTCATAATGCTGACTCAGGGTTCAGGACTCATAGTCGCTGACTCATGTTATGGTAATAACTTAACCTTCTCTCCTCGTTCAGGAGCTCCTGCAGGAAGCGGGCCTTCTCTCCGGTCCTCAAGAACTTCAGGATCCAGACCCGGAAACTGGGCCAGAACCAGAAGGAGTCCGAGCAGCAGGGAAGGAAGAGCCAGGAGAAGACTCGGCACCTGGACCTGGACCAGGACCAGGAGAAGACCTGGCACCTGGACCTGGACCAGGAGAAAACCCGGCACCTGGACCTGGACCAGGAGAAGACCCGGCACCTGGACCTGGACCAGGAGAAGACCCGGCACCTGGACCTGGACCAGGAGAAGACCCGGCACCTGGACCAGGACCGGGTTCTGGCCCTCCGACTCCAGAGACAGTTTGACCTGGAGACCAGCAGCCGGCCTGAAGCCTACTTCCTGCGATCCTGGAGGTCCAATCAGAACTGCAGGAGGCGGGGCCTGAGGAGGTCTCGGCGAATCAGCACCAAGCACTAAAGGGGAAGGAGGAGAGGGAATATGCAAAGAGACTATCGATTCACCAGCACATCACCAAACCCTGAATCCAGATGTAAATCAGAGGGTCTTAAAGATTCACTCTGGAGACCGTCTTTGGACATTTCACATTTATATATTTTTAGACATTTTATTTACTCTTTATTTTTTACAAATCACATAAAAAATATCAGATTTTCTCCTGAATTTAAAATGTTGTTTTTCTATCTTGGGTGTTTGGGACTTCCTGATCTCTCAGGAGACGTTTCCTCCTCGGTTTGAGACTTTAGATATAACTTTCTCAGCTCTCTGACGTTATGACAGACAGACAGACAGACAGACAGACAGAGAGACAGACAGAGAGACAGACAGACAGACAGAGAGACAGAGAGACAGACAGACAGACAGACAG